TGCGGTTATGATCACATTTAAAGTCAGAAAACTATATGAAATCTTCAGGTGAGATATTTTCCATATTTTTTTCAAAAATCCGCCATAAAAACGAAGTTTAAAAAATTCATCGCAATCGGATGATTTTTCGATTTTCGAGAGCCAAAAAACGAGGGGACCGGGATAGTATAAAATTACCAAAATTGCTTTTTGTTCTATATTTATAGTTTAAGTACATTTTCATTTGTAACTGCTGCCACAGAAGAAACAATTGTATAAATATCGTTTTAAATTTGAAAGTATTATATTGTTTAATTAGGAATGATAATACAAAAAATTGTCGGTAAGGTACGCGCGCTAAATACTGGAATATAATTGTACTATGTCTATAACCTTTATGGTTTGTGAAAGTTAAGGTAATAAGTTGACAAAGTTTTAGTACAATTCGATGAACGGTATGGCAGCGCATAAAAAACGAACAAACAAATATTAATTTTTATATATTAGACTAGCTGGCCAGGCAGATTTTGTTTTGCCCTTTCCGACGATTTTCCTGTAAAATATCCTTAAATACACAATAAAAAAATTAAGGGTTGCCTATCGTTTTAAAAACCACCCTATCTCTCAAGTTGGAAAAACTGCACACCGTGTGCAAAATTTCATTGAAATCAGTTCAGTAGTTTAGGAGTTCATTGCGGACAAACAACGGGACACGTAATTTTTATATATAAAGAATATGACCAAAAGTTTCTATTTGTCAGTAATAGTAGTTAGTTGTTTAGGATAGATTAAGCTTACTTGTATCTGGATAAACTCTGTACACATTCCTAGCTGTAGGTACTTGTTTTTAAGAATTAAAATAAAATTGCTAATATAATTTTTGTTTTACTTATCACAAGCCAGTACTGGACCACAATCCCACCTGGTGGTAAGTCCTTGATCGAAAATCGCACTGTCTATTCACTCTTGCTTTGAAGACGCACAGATTGTATTCGGACGGAAAAATAGACGCCGACAAATTATTCCACTGCTTTGATGTATACGCACTACAACTAAAAATCAAACGGAAAAATAGACGCCGACAAATTATTCCACTGCTTTGATGTATACGCATTACAACTCAAAATCCAACGGAAAAATAGACGCCGACAAATTATTCCACTGCTTTGATGTATACGCATTACAACTCAAAATCAAACGGAAAAATAGACGCCGACAAATTATTCCACTGCTTTGATGTATACGCACTACAACTCAAAATCAAACGGAAAAATAGACGCCGACAAATTATTCCACTGCTTTGATGTATACGCATTACAACTCAAAATCCAAAATCGGACTTATTACTTAAAATGTAATGAGTCCGATTTTGGATATTGAAATTTACATACTAATTCGTGATTCAGATTCCCGAAAGATTCCTTTTATACAAGTGCGTGCGCGAGTGTAATCAAAGAAGGCAGTAGAACTGAGTAAAGCGACAAAGCCCATCGCAATAGTTAAAAATCGATACAGAAGAAAGGTTTTAGAATGGCAGCCTCGTCCGATGGCACCGTCAAGGAAAGTGTAGGGCGCCCCCCCCCCCCATTAAATGGAGTGGCGCACCTGTAAGACATGCAAGAAGTCGATAGATGTAGGTGATCCAGAACCGTGTTTCGTGGCATTGACTTGTGATGATGATGATTACTTAAAAATAGTATGATCATGTCATCTGTAAAATAATTTACGCACACACAACAACATATACGTAACAAACATACAAAAAGACAATAAATGGAAACTTGATAATTTGGGCCGACCTAATTGCAAGAGCCTAGCCTTATTTTATGGGACTTGAGGTATTAATAATTGCCAAGGTATCTAAAGATACAGCTTAAAACATACAGGTTAGGCAGCGAGTATAATGAATTAAGTTAGAAACTTCAAGAAAAAGATCAAAAATTATATATGTCATGTAGAAAGCATTTTAAAGAACTATCTCCCACTTGATATGTCTTTTTTTCATCAGCTCTCTCTCACTTGATATGCTTTTTTCTGTCCGATTTGCATAAAGATGAGACTTATTTCTTAACGCTCAAGTTTAATATTTACTTTCTGAACGGAAACGGATCGTTAAAAGTAATATAATAGACGGATTTAATGCATTTTGGCAACCTTTATAACCTATACAATGTAAATAAAATTCAGGAATAAAGCAATAATAATAATACTTACCCAGCTTGGCTTGTTGCTATGTATTTAGTAGTGTGAAGAACATTTTTTTTTAGAAAAACTAAGCTTATAGATACAATTCATAACACGTTTTCAAAGAATATCGGTTTTTGAGCAAGGAAACTGTATTCATTTCGTGGGAAAATTAAAAAAATACAGTGGTTATATAATTTTAACTTGTATTTTATTGGTAATTTTTTTAGTTTGTAATATGTTATAAAAAGTAATACCCTATAATATAAAGTAATAGTAATAATAAAATTATAATAATCACGCGTGCAATGCCGCTTTAATAATAATTCTAAATATTAATACATGAAGCGAAAAATTTGTAAAAAAAATTAGTACGTTTTATTACTGTAAATATGTCTAAATTTTGTAAAAGTATTGAGAGGCTAAATAAAATATTTAATTTTTTTTCTCTAATCAGATTTAGTTTATAAAATTATTTTATTGCTCTTCTGTAAAAAAAATAGTTTTTATGACATTGGCCGCATAGTAAGATTCTATATAAGGCATTGGGAATAACTAAAGTAATTAAAATATTAGATGTAAAGTGATGGGTTTTTTAAATTTTGGGAATAGTTGTAATTGTAATGCGTCTTTCTTGGTACGTTTAAGAAATATTCACTTCAATGTAAATTTAAATCTAGATTTGAACTTACTTGTATATAAGGAAATATCTTAAGATCTCGTAATATGTTTAGCATACAGAATTTTTTTTAAATCCTTAAAAGGCATTTAATTTGCATTAGAAAAGGAACGAACAGGACACAGTACGGTCACGGGGAGCGCATCGCGCTATTTCGACGTAATTAAAACAAACAGGAGGTGGCTCGCCACTCGTCTCTAATTGCGTTTGTGTTTGAATAATCACGAAAATTATGACAGAATAACGGACCTGATGATATATACATACACACACACACACACACACACACACACATATATATATATGTATATGTATACGTAATATATATCTACGTGCCGAAGCGCAAGTAAGCAAGGAGTTGGAACGCAGTTTAATTTACATGAGAAGTTGGTAATTTAACTAATAAATTGAGGTTTGTTATCACAACAGTAACAAATACGCCAGTAAAGTTATATACGAGGCCGTTCAAAAATGCGGCATGGTAAGCAGCTTTACCATGAAGGCAAACATCATTTATTTTTAAAGAGCTTAATTTCAGTAGCGTTTCTGGAGAACCCCGAAAAGGAACAATAATAAGCTTTTTAAGCTTTTTCCTTCTACACCAGTAATACGTAAACGTATATTTTTAATTTGAATTGTATGGAGTTTTTTTACAGGTTTAAGAAACATTAAAAACTACAAGAGAATCCAAACAAATTACTCATAATTTAAGCTTTGCAATTTTTTAAAACAAAAAGTATTTAATGTACTTAATACAATCGCATGATTTCAGTAACAAAACCTTAGATCATTCACACAACTTTTTACCCGCACAAAAACAAGTATATTATATGTAGAAACTGGATACCATATACGGATAAGGAACTATATACATTTGAGACTGGAACACAGCAGTGCAAGAACTACTATTTTGTGACAGAAAAAAGAGAAAGGAGAGAAAAGGAGTTCTACCATGTAATAAAAATATCATTCTACCATGTAATTTAGAAATGTGTGTTTTATCAATATTATTACAGAATTTATACAGAAGGATTGAACGTGTGTTTTACTTTTTATTTTCTTTTTCTTAACGTCCCACTCGTACATGTATTGGTATTAAAACTAGTTAGGTAAAAACAGCACAACCGAAGAGATTTTTCTTTAATTTTATATAACCAAGATACGAAGAAACTTTTTCCCCGACCTATTATTTTAGTATGGATTCAGAACGTGATGACGTTGAATGCCTTATTATAATGGTAATACAGGTGGCAATGACTCCGACACTTCGAGTGATGAAGAATAGTGTCTATTTTACTTTCGTTTATGTTTATTTACGTACTCATATTTTTCATTTAAATTCCCTGTGCTACTTGTGTTTATTATTTATATTCGTATTTTATTCTTAGAATAGAAAAACATTTATTTAACAAACACAGTAAAAAATAATTAAATGCAAGCATGCGTCTGAATGCACCCTTACAAATCATCATCATCATTATAGCCCTTCACAAGTCCACTGCTGAACATAGGCCTCCCCCAAGTAATGCCACGAAGCAAGGTCCTGAGTCACCTGCATCCATCGACTACCTGCATGTTACTGTACGTTAAACATCGATAGTTTGGTAATCCGATAGTATCGATAGTTTAACTAAAAACTATCGATAGTCTATCGATAGTTTAAAAACTTGTAGGATTAGCGTAACATCAATAAAATAACAAATGTTATACGAAACGTAGAATTTTATTTTGATATATATATATTCGAAATAACAATCAAACATCATTATTATAGTTAGAAATCAATCATTAAAATAACAGCTATTTTGTTTTATAAACAACAATTCATTTAATCTTTTTTCTTTTAACCTATTTCTGCGTTCGGTTAAAATTTGTCCGGCCTTCGAAAATATTCGTTCTGAAGGCACAGAAGATGCTGGAATACAGAGATAGAGCATCGCTAATTCCTTCAATTTATTGTTGGTGTATTTCCAGTATGTTATAGGACACTCTTTTCTGTCAATTACTGGCTTCTCGAGATATTGCCTGACATCTACCAATGAGTTACTCAACGGGGTCGATACGTCCGGAACGTCTAGAAATCCCAACAGGTCATTAGATGTTCCTGAAGACGTGGATGGTGTTGGTTGCGTTTCTTCTACAGCCAAGCGTTCTTTAGTTAAATGGCTAGCATAGGCCTTTTCCAGCCACTGACCAGCTCGCTTCTCGTCGTCACTTGTTTTGAACCCCTTCTTCTTAAATCTGGGGTCCAATATTGTAAGTAAAGTACAACAGGTGTCCTGCTTTCATAGGGACTTAGTCTTTTGTCAACTGATCCCTTCATGCAGAGTAATATTTTGTTTCCGCTTTCAGTAACAATTTGAGATTCAACTTCTACTAATTTCGTTTTTATTCCACGAATCAATGGTATTATCAGTGACAATGTTATATAGCTTTCTCCGGAAATTTTTGTTGTAGCTAGATCGAAAGGTTCCAGAATTTGAATTGTTTCTTGAATAATTAGGTATTCGTCAGCATTGACTCCTGGTGGAGCCCGATTACATTCATTAAGTGCGAGAGTTAATTCTGTCTTCATTGTAACAATTCTTTGCAGCATGTGGTATGCACTGTTCCAGCGGGTGGGTACTTCCTGGATCACTTTCAGTTCTGGTTTATTTAATTCACGTTGAATAGCCCGTAATTTATCGCTAGCTAGAGTACTCATCTTGAAAAAAGTCACAATCGATTTACATTTTTTCAGAATCTGGTCTAAGCAGGTCACAGCAAACGAATCACTTACCGTCAGGTTTAGTGTGTGCGCAAAGCAGGGTATATGTCGTATATGCAGTTTGGCTGCGGCGTTAATCATTGTTTGAGCGTTATCAGTCGTTATTGCTTCACATTTTGACCTGATATCCCATTTTGAGAGAGTAGCATCCAACATCTGAAAACAATAATAATATTGTTTATGTCTGATTATAAAGAAACACTGAATTGGTAGGTATCAAGGCAATAAAATTTAAAAATACTTACACTGGCTATATTTTCTGCGTTATGACTTCCTTCCATCTTCACAACTTCCAATAATGGTGCAATTAATTTTTCGTTGTGAAAGAAATGACAAGTAACTGAAAGGATGCCTTCATTTGCAATTGATGTCCATAAGTCAGTAGTCACACTAACATGTTCTGCTTTCGATAATGCTATGACGAGCTTCTGTTTCACGTTTTCATAATATTCCGGCAGTAATTTCTTTTTCAATATTGTTGTATCAGGAATTTCATATCTACTATCGAGAGCATTTACAAAATCCCGAAATCCTTCATGTTCTCCTTTTCGCAAAGGTTCCATGTCAACAGCAATCATGCGCACGTATTTGTTATCCAAATTTTGCTTTGTTTTCCCATCTGGATATTTACTACTTCTATCAAAATAATTTTTTAGCGTATTTCTCTTTTTAGGGCTTGGGCCCATTTTCTCATTTTGCTCAGTGGTATCTACGTCTTGAGTAACAGAAACAGTGGATGACCACATCCATACCTCATTATGTTTTCTCTTCATATGATCGATCAAGTTCGTAGTATTTCCACTTAGTTTAAACTCTCTTTTACACAAAGAACACTTGGCAAACTTTTCATTAGTCTTTTTGAAGTAATCCCACGCACGTGACTTACTACTCATGTTTTATTGTTTAATTCTAAATTGTTTGTTACTCCACTCAACTTCAAACATCCACAATAAAAAACTGACTGACTGACTTTTGTCTTGTAAATGAATGATATACGCACGGTAATTCCCCAACCATAGAGAAGAATCTCAATGTCTACGCCTTTGAATGTATGATATACGCACGGTAATTCCCCTACCATAGAGAACAATCTCAATGTCTATACCTTTGTCACTATAGCCGGGGAATAACTTACATACATGCATACCTCGACTCTAGGGATGTAAAAGTAGTACCCGAGTAAACAATCGATCGATAGTTTTAAAAACTATCGATAGTATCGATAGCCATTTACTATCGATACCATCGATAGTCTATCGATGTTTAACGTACACTACTGCATGTCTTACCAGGTCGTCACTCTATCTAGTGGGGGGTCGCCCTACACTACGCGTACCGCTTAGTTAATTTAATAAAAGTTAATAGTTATAATTAATTAATAATGCGTATTAAATAATATATATTCTAATTTTAAAATATAAACAGGTAAATTTTTGCCCCCCATTAATTAAAAATTTTTCTACGAATCCATAAAATAGTTAATTTAACAAGTGCACCCGTATTCCGTCGCTCACTGATCTCAAAATCGGAAGTACTCGGTAGGATCGAAGACGCGCACGATTACCCGTTCAGGCTATTCTTTTGTTCATTTCTTTCTGAAACTGCTTGAAGTTCGCAACGCGCGTGAGCCTAAACGAACGACCGGTGAACTTACTTATCTACATTCAAAATATATATTACTACAAGTAATATACTGTTCAAATTCAAATTTATTTATTGCTAGAATGTAGTACATAGTAATATGGTGTTATTAGTTATTAACGAGACCTTACATTCTACCATGATAATGGCGTGCAATCTTTTACAGTAAACAAAAAAAATATTAATACAATTTAGTGAAGTAACTTATTGAAGAAAATGAATTATGTACCTATTCAAAAATATTTTAGCGTCAAATTTTTAGATTACAATAAATATTACATGTCAATGTTTTTTATTAAAATGTAGGTTATATAAATGTCAAATATCTAAAAATTCAAAAAATTGTTAAAAAAATAATAAATGTTAATATCTAAAAGATCAGTTTTTTTTTCATATTTCACCATTATTAAAATAGGAGATTATTTTTATTTTCGGATGAATACATACACAGTACATCATAAATTGTATAAAACTATTACCAAAATTTACATAAATTGCAATTTACTTATTAAAAAATATATTACGTTTCGGCTTCAAATTTTTTTTATGAATAGCTAATAGCGTAATAGAAGAAAAATGTCAGATAATTATTAATTATTTTTAAATAGAATAAAATCTCAATGCTCAGTGAAATTACAGTAGTTCATTCATTAAATTTACAATCTAGAAATTCTTTGACGCTATAAAAGGTACTTTCTTTCTGCAAGAAAATCATTGAGGCTTTTTTTTAAATCTTGGTAAAGAAAGTGCTTTAATATGCTGAGGAATTTTGTTATATATTTTGACACACATATATAGACAGCTTTTATTATACTTGGATAGTCTAGGAAGTGTGTCGATTACAAGTTTTTCGGGGTATCTATGGCTTCGAGAAGATATAACTTTTGCTTTAGTGAACACATAGTAGTGTTGTTTAACGAACAAACAAATTTCATATATGTAGAGCGAGGGCAATGTCAATAACTTAAGGTTTTTGAATAAAGGTTTACATGAATCAAATGGCGCTTTAAGAGTCAATGCTCGTAGACATTTTTTTTTAAGTGATAAAGGCTTTATTTAATTGAGAACCATTTCCCCAGATAATTAACATGTAACGCAGAATTGAAACTACATAAGCATGATAAACCGACAGGGCTATATTTATGTTAGTGACTTTTCTAATATACCATAAAGCATATGCAAATTTATTTAGTCTATTGCACACTGACTTAAATAGCCTCCCAATTAAGGTTTCTATCAATTACTAAGCCAAGAAATTTAGTTTGCGTCATTTCTTCAATTTTGGTTCCGTTGTAATATATGTCAAGCTTATTCGTTTTCAAATAATCAAATTTAATATAATGAGTTTTGGTAAGATTAACTTTTAAATTATTTAGATTTAACCATTCTATTACTGATTTGATTGTGTCATTTATGTCAGATTCATGTTTTGTAAATGAATGTTTCCTTGGGTTAGTTACAATTGTTATTGAAATATCGTCAGCAAACATAGTACATTTAAATGTAGTTATATTTGGAATGTCATTTATATAAAAAAAAGCAAAGGCCCAAGAATGCTTCCTTGTGGGACGCCAAAGTTGTTGTTCCTAAAATCTGAATAATAAGAAGTCAGTTCATTTTGGTTATTGATATTTTTTATTTCAACTTTTTGTTTTCTGTTTGTCAAATAAGATTCGAGCCACTGCAAAGGAATTCCTCGAATGCCCATATTTTCCAGTTTTTTTAAGGAGATTTTTATGGTCTACGAAATCGAAAGCCTTAGATCAAAAAACAATACAGTGGTTAGATATGAATTATTTACACTTTCTAAGATGGATTTAATTAATGTATACGTGGCTAAAGAAGTAGATTTATTTTTCTGAAAACCAAATTGTTGTGGACTGATGACACTAATCTTATTACAATATTCAGAAAGGCGCAAAAACATGCACTTCTCGAATATTTTTAAAAAATTTATATTAATGCAATAGGTCTGTAATTATTAACATCATCTTTTTCACCTTTCTTAAACAACTGTTCAATTATTGATAATTTAAGCTTTTCTGGGAAAGTACCTGTTGAAAAGGATAGATTTATAAGATGTGTAAGTATTTTTATAAAATTATCGATGGAAGTTTTAATAATATTGGTACATATTCCGTCATAGCCAGTTGTTTTTGAGTTATTAAGAGATATGACTGCATTTCTGACTTCTTTTTCTGACATTTCTCTTAGAAACATTGACACGAGCTCTCTAGAATTAGTTTTAAGTTTATTATTATTAGTTATATTATTACTGATGTTATTGTTGTGAGTCATGTTAATAAAAAGTTGTTAAGGTTATTTGCTATATCAGTTGGGTCAGTTAAAATAGTATTGTTATCTTTTATATTAATAATGTCAATATTTTTTGAATTATTACCTATTTCATTATTTACAATTGTCCACGAAGTTTTGCACTTATTTATGCTCGTGTTGATCAAATATATATTTCTAATTTTTTTTGATAAGTAAATACATTTTTTAAGATTTTTGAATAATTTGTATAGGTATGTTTACTAAAGATGTCTTTGATAGAATCAGGCGTTACTTTGCGGAAATCCATTTAATAAAAAATAAAAATATAAATTTCTTTGCAACTTTCCGCTAAACAGTTTAGCGGAAAGTTGCAAAGAAATTTATATTTTTATTTTTTATTTTAAAGATGTCTTTGTTCATATAGTATTTATATCTAAGTAATCTTTTCCGTTTGCAGCTAATCCTTAGTCCTTTACTTATCCATTTAGCTTTGTTGTAAGTGTTGTTTATCTTTATTTTCATTTGCGGGAAACATAGATTGTAAAGTAGGAGAAATAAGTCATGGAATTTTTTAAATGCTCTATTTCTATCGATTTCTTCTAAAATGTCATTAAATGTAAGACTGCCAAGATAGCCATTAAATTTTTCTATATTTTCAGAGCAGTAATCTCTTTTGTAAACGAAATAGGATATAGGTTTTTGTTTCACAGATATAACCGGCATTTTCAGCATTTGGGCAGTGTTGTGATCAGATAAATAAAGCGGTAAGATGACTGGTATTGTTGATTTAATATTACTTAATATATGATCAATACAAGACGATTTTCGGGTAGGTTCTTTGATGTGTATCGTTAAGTTATAATTTATTGCTAAATCGTTTAACATAGTTGTAAATTTGTTAGACTTTAAAGGGTTAATATTAAAGTCCCCTGTCAACACAATTTTCTTTTTTATATCCATACTTATTGTATAGGGTACTAAGCAGACTATTCAATTTATTTAAAAAAAATAACATCACTTCTGGGGGGTTCTATAAATATTTATAATAATAAGGTTATTTCCTGAGATTTCAATGCCGCAACACTCAAAATGTTTTTCTATACTATAGTCATCTAAAACTAAGATTTTTTTAAAAAGTAATTTTTTTTTACTAGAATGCAACTTCCACCTCTTTTTTCAAATCTACAAAAAATTGCCCCTAATGTGTAGTTATTTAATTTAAAGAAATTTTCTGCCCCTTTTTCTATGAATGTCTCCGATAAACAAATAATATGTGGTTCGTTATTATTCTTCGCGAGTTCTAATATAGTCATCTCCAAAATTTCTTTTTTAGCTGTTGCACTTGCTATGTTTTGATGTAGGATATTTAAGTATTTACTTGGGGATCTATTAGAATGAGACACGAAAAAAAAATCACGCGTATTTTTAAGCGGAAAGTAAAAAGGGTTAGTATATTTTCGTTTTGATGTACCGTTTGCGGTAGGCTGGACTGGCTCGTTACATGATTCGCTTACGCTTATTATATTCTCCATAACACATGTGTCATTCCAGCGTCTTATTGTCCTACGGTTTCAAAGATATCGTTAAATATTATTTTTATACCGTAGTTATTCACATTGCCCGTGTACATATCAAACATTTTAAAGTCGTATTTAAGATGCAAGTATGAGTCTACAACATAGGCGTATTCGTATTTTACATTATCCTCGTGAAGCAATTTATTGAAAGATTCAATCATTCAGTTAAATAGGTTTGAATATTTTTATACCTATATGTTGGCAAACAAATAATTACATTAGTGTGAGTGATTTTATACAATGTTTTTCTTATATAATTTACTAAATAACGACAATTAATTGATCTTTCAAAATCATTGCTTCCTAAAAGTATCACACAGTAATCTTTCATTGTAAAGTTGTTTAATTTTAAATCTATGTTTAATAACAATTCCTCTATCCCAGAGTCAGGCTTCAGT